GTTGCGGAGGCATTCATAAGGCCGGATTCAGGGCCAAGAGGCACATTTTCACAGGGACACCTGACTTGCAGCAAAGGCAACATGCACATTACCCAATGTACAAGCTAGACATATAGCCAAAATTAAAACAAGTCACACACTGAGCCATGGGCCAATTCGAGACAAGCCAATAGAACCCGGAAAATTATAACTTGTAATTTACACAAGTCGGTGTTGCCGGACAAAAACGTCAGCTGCTCAATGCGTTCGTCCCCCAGAGATGCCCGCCGAGATTGCACAATATAGCCGGATACCGAGAAGCCCTGTTCTGACGAACCACTTCCGGCCGGCACACACAATGAGTGCCGGGCCACCCACGCCACTATGGGCCATCGAGCACTATTCCGTGCCCAATTATCTAGTGCATCCTCCTCTCGTGGGGTACCCGGCTCACACAAACTCCAACGTTCCGTTAAAAACTCCTGAACGTGTTGCGCGATCAACCGCTGTGTGGTATCCATCAATTTGCCGCCCGCTGTACCGCCCGCAGGTTGGCTAGGCCCCATGGCACCGCTTGCCCTTGGGCCTCGTTGCCATGTTGCATCATAATCCTCCTCGGAGCTAGTGTCAAACGTCTTATGCCCCATGCGCTTCTCCCTCGGCTTGCGCACGGGCCGTTGTCCAGGATGGGGTGGCAGGCCTGCTTGCCCCAATGCCTCTGACCACCCAATGTCCTTCGCGAATTTAAGACACAACTCCAACAGCTCAGCCGACATGTCCTCCATCACGGTATCCACCAACACGAACTTCTCCCTGATGGGTTTCAGTACCTTTATGTAGAACCCCGGGGTAGCCTTCCAGGCGTACACTGCACACACACACCATGCAATTTATCAGCACTGCTTCTGACCTTTTATATGTGTTTTTGAATATGTGAACGACACCACAGTGAGAAACAGTACACAACACCAACAACAACATCACTGAGTGATTAGCAACGATCACTCACCGGTGGGGTCCATCAAAGCGAAAAAGGCCATTTGCCAGACCCACGTGGAGTCATTGAGGGCCTCTTCTTGTTTGTAGGCCATGTCACTGCAGAATGGCACCAACCCACTGTATGGCCCTTTATTGTCCATGCCGCCCATTTTGTAAAGGAAACGCCGGAGGTGCATCAGCTTGGTGAGAGCCTTGGAGCCCGTGGGGTATGCCTCCGCCTCCAGCCTCTTACAGCACCTCTTGATAGATGCCAAGATTAGGAGGAGGACCTCCAGGTAGCCCCATTGTGTAATCTCAATGGGATTATCGTATTCGGGGTGCAGCCCAAACCATCTGTCGATGGCCTTCCTCAGGCGCACAGCTCTTTGCAACATAAAAAATGTACTATTCCATCGAGTTTCCACAGACCTCACCAGCTGGAGTACCCTCTGCAGGTTGGGCCTCCTGCCACCTTCAACCGACTCATCGGAGGGCACCTCTGATGCAGACACCCCCTCCTCATCATTAGAAACTACGTTATTACCCTCCCTTATTATTTCCACCTGCAGCCTTCGCAGCTCACCTGTGGCTTTCGCGCTGGCACGCATGTGGTTCACCAGCGTGGAGACCCTGCCATCGTAAGGACACATGCACACTGCTGATGAAACAATTCCGAAGCAGCAGCAGCTGCGGCAGTTGCAGTACACATAAATAACCACCAACATATATGCACGCATAGCAACACACACACCAAGACACACCAACATCATAACTTACCGGTCTATTGCACTGCAAAGCTTTTGGTAGCCTTCGGTATGGGTGGCGCGGACGCGTAGGTTGGCCATGCCATGGGTTACGACGTTGTGGAGCATGTGGCAGGCACAGCGTGACCAATCTGCCATGCCGCCTCTGGGCTGCTCCCCAACCTCATGTGCTGCCAGCTCCCCCCTAATAGCCCGCCTGATGTTGCTCCAAGCGTCCGTGACAAAGGACGGCCACCAGCCGGTCATCCCATACTTCTCCAGCTCCTTGCGAGCCAGGTCCACCACCACTGCATACATAAACACGTTGTGACAAGCAACAAACCACTCGACCAGCTGGTACTTGGGCAGTCGCTGGGGCCCATTAACCCCATCATCCCATACTTCTCCAGCTCCTTGCGGGCCAGGTCCACCACCACTGCATACAAAAACTGCTTGCGACAAGCAACAAAGGCGAATATCACAAATAACAAACAACATGACCAGCTGCCAGTTGGGTAGTCACTGCTACCCATTCGCTGCACAACCTCTCACCTTCAGCCGTGATGCTCTCCGCCTCCACAGGCACTGACCCCATGCACCTGCTCTGCAACCGCCACTGGCGGTTGGCATGGCCATCATGCTGGTGCGTCTCCTCCACCCAGTGCATGGTTATTAAAAAATACTCTCGCCGCGTGCGAGAGCGCCAAAGGTCGCAGGTGAAGGCTGGCCGCACCTTATTCCACTCCTCCATCCCCCGGAGCTTCTGCACCGCCTGACGGTGCATGGATGCTATCTGCGATAACAACAAAGACACTATTTTCAAGCTGACAGCCGACACAGTTGTGTGCTGCGGACTATATCACATGGACACCATGGGACAACAGAACATATTGCACACAATGCATGCGACGACATTGTAACAGCGGACTTCGTTGGTGACGGCCTTCCGGCTGAAGGAGGGGCAGCGGCCGTTGAGTGCCTTGCACATGCGGCGGAAGTTTGGAGACTCAACAACGGATAGTTGAATGCTATCCGCTGCGATCCAGCGGGTGATCGCCGACCGCATTTGCTGCCATGGGGCGGTTCCTGTGGCAAAGGCCTCCTGCTGCATGTAATGTGCCACTACCACCTCACGGCCCTCCTCAGCCGTCCGCGCAAGAAACTCAGCCATGGGAAAAGCGACACCATCCGCCCGTGCTGTGCATAGGCTCCCGCGACAGCGTAGGGTGGCCACTCAGAGGTGCCATTCGGTCCGTTAAATCCGGTTCGTTAATTTTTATCAGCTGTCCGTTAAATTTCGTTAAAGAAAAAGGGAGAAAAATTCAGAAAAAACGAAAAAAATCCAAAAAAATCGAAAAAACCCAAAAAATCACAACAACTGCGGCTAGTTGAAAATCTAGTATGCATAGGTTGAAATAAAATATAAACATACTCTCTAATAGCGAATTCCATAAACTATAAGTATGACTAAAACCCAAAAATCCCCAAAAAATCCAAAAATCCGCTAATTTTTGGTTAAATTTTGTCTTTTTTCGTTATTTTCCGTTAATTAACGGAAAATTAACGGAAATTAACCTCTGTCCGCTATTAACGGATCCGGGTGGCCACCTCTACGGCAACGGACAACGTCCGTCGCGTGACCTTGTGGTGCCCCATATGCTTTTCCGCAGTCAAGAAGGATGGCGACTTGAAGGAAATCCCTTTGCCGCAAATGCGGCAAATGATCTTGCTGTGGTCGCCTTCCTTCCCCGTAACACTGTCTTATCTTGCAAGGATACCAGGTCGCCCCTCCTCTTCCACATACAATGGCTTCACCCACCGGCTGCCGCTCTGCCCAGGCCCCAATGGTAGGGCCACACACCTATTGCTGCCAGAGGCGACCCCCACCCCACCCCCTCCCTCCGTTCGGGCCCGCTTTGCCCTTGAGGGTGCATTCCCACCCTCGCCGCCGGCCGCGCGCTTCACGTTGCTTCCAGAGGCGGCCGCCCCCGATGCCATCAACGGGGCCCCAGGTGTTGCCGCCGGTACAGATGCAGACCCCACCCTGCCACTCACAGACGCCCCCTCGGGATCCCCGGCTGGCAACAGCCCTTCAGATGCCCCAACAGCTGGCAGCTGTTGTAGGTTCAGAGCCCCCTCCGCGCTAGGTTCCAAATCCGAGTCCCCCAGGCCCCCCGCCACCAAATGCGAAAAGTCAAACAGGTCCGGGAGTGGGGCGCTGCCGCCAACAGACGCCCCCTGGCCTTCCCCCCCTGCCGCTGCCACCGCCGTCCCCGCATGCCCGGATCCCTCACCTTGGGGGGTGGGGGACTGCCTTTCCGGGCGCCCCTCTGTCTGGCCCCGGGCATCCCCTGCCGCAGGCTGTGGGGGGCCGCCTTGGTGATGTCGGGCCGGGGGCCGTGACCCCCCGGCCTTCACATGCCGCCGCCGCTGCGTCTGCTTGGTCTTGCCACCCATCGCAACAGGCGCAAACTGTGTTGCAGGGGGGCAGGGGCACCACGTTTGTGGACCGTGGGGCACGCGGCCCACGCGTCAAATTTGATTGCTGCATTCTTATTGGTCCACGCATGAATTTGATGTTGTTATGTACTGTGGAGCGGCTTCCAGAACGGGTTCTAGGACGGCCTGGGACGGCCTTCGGAACGGCCTGGAACGGACTCTAGACCGGCCTGGAGCGGACTCTAGACAGGCCTTGGGCAGTACAGGAATGGACTCCTAGGTGGGCCGTACTGCCCTGGAACGGAATTGGGACGGCTGCATACCGTCCCAGATCCGTCCCAGTCCGTTCCCAGCCAGGGACGGATCCGTCCCTGGCCGTTCTTGGGCCTGCCGTCCCCATTCTTGGACGGCCCACCTCTGGCTGAATAGCGTCGCAGCAGCACTACAATGTTCTGCGCAAATAGCACCGGTGCTATTCTGGGGAGCTATTCGGCCTCGAGCGGAGCTATTCGGGGCCAAAATAGCGCCGTTGGGCCCCGAATAGCTCCGGGGGAGCTATCGGGGAGTTATTGCTCCCCAACCGTTAATGATGTTTTTTTACACGTGCGGAGCTATTCGGATAGCCGAATAGCTCCGCCGGAACAATAGCACCGACCGATAAATATGCTCTAAGAGCTCAATGCATTCACAGGTTCCTGTCTCATCATCAGGCAGCTTGCCATTGGCTCATTCAAGCAAGTACATGTGCACAGCGGGTGGATTGTCCCCCTTGGGGATGTGTTTCGACACGGCCACGCGGCCACCCCTCTTGGCCCCTTGTGGCGCTCGACGCCCCGATCCCGTCCTGACGCGCATCCGTGAATGCGCGCCTCGGCGGTGCCCATGCCCGAGCTGCAGGTCAGCTGAACGCTGCGGGGTGAATGGGGTGCCCATCCGCAATTGAGTGCCCGTGGAGCGCCCAGTGGGCATGAGGCCATGAGTATCGGTCACGCAGGGTGCGCTGTTCAGATACGGCGACAAGTCGGCGCAGGTCGCCTTCCAGTCGGGGAGCCATGGGCGGCACGTCGTGCTGGTGGGGGGCCTCACGGATGGGCTGCTGTTCGCGCCGTACGCCGAGGGCCTGGCGCGGGCGCTGGACGGGATCGGGTGGTCGCTGGTACAGGCGCAGCTGACGTCTTCGTATCAGGCGGGTGGCGCAGCTTTGCGCGGAGGGGGCGGAGGACCGCGTTTGGGGCGCCCGGGGTCCAAATGGCGGCGGGACGGTGCAAAGGGAGGCCGCTGTGCTGATCCTACTGTTGGAAAATGCCACCTGCCCATATGGCATGCCCGCTGCGGGCACACCCATCCCAATGGATTCATTGGATGTACGGAGCAGCCGGTTGCAGCACAGAAGGGTTTCACCCTCCTTCGTGCATATGCTTTCGCTGAAAACTCTGCACCAATGCATAACAAATGTTGTCAGGTCGAGGACGCCCCGTGAGTCACTCGTTCACCAAAGCCTGAAGTATTCCTCCCACGTCTCCGTGGAGAATTCTTGTGGGGCTGGCTGCTGTTCCAGTCGTTCAGCTGCCCTGCATGTCATGTGTCAAGAAAGCCATTCCGCGCACCTGGTTTGTGCCAGCCATTTCGTCGGTTCAGACAAGAAAAAACTTGCACATCACCTTGCAGGAATAGTGGCATGCCCTCATGAGCAAGAGTGTTTGTGAGATTCTTTTGCACAATGTGACAATCTAGCCTCACAATGTTCAAGCACAGACAGATACAGTACAACATGGAGTACATTGGCAATGGGCATGATATACACAGAAAATAATAAGCGAATGTGCAAAGGGGGAAGCTTTTGGTCTACTTTTGAGAAACGAAGAGAACTTCTTTGATGGCTGGTGCAGGGGTATGGAGTGCAGAGCTTGGATGACGATGCTGATGAGTTGCACAAACTCGCCATGCACCTTCAGACCTGCAAGAGTTCTGTTGGTATTGTGCTTGTTGGGCATTCAACGGGGTGTCAGGATGTGGTGCGATTCGTGCAAAGTTATGGATCAGACAAAAGCATGCCACCACTACTCGGGACTGCGCTGATGGCGCCAGTGAGTTCCTGCCTGTCCTTTGCCAGAATAGTGCTGCACATTTGAATGTCCAGGTGCCTCACCACAGGTACAAAAGAGAAGTGGGCCTCATGCCATATAGCAAGGAAGTGAAGGGCACTGTAAAACCCCAGAAGGTGTTCGCATCTTAATGAACGCTAAATCTCAAAGAAAGGGGGAAAGGGGGTGGGGTGGGGTCCTCTGGCACATCAGAATCGAGGCAAATCGTACTGGTTTGATTTGCGTGCTTGTGTGAGTGGCTGCTTGTTACGCTGTTTGCTCAATTTGTTGCAGATCCCTTATTCATTGCTCAGCAGTGGTCAAGCACAATGATTTTGCACTGTTGTGCTTGCAAATGGCCACAGTAGTCGATAAATATCTGAAGCTCACAGTTTAGAAAACTTTCCAGTCAGATCTAGAAGACTTTTGCCCCAATGTTTAGGAAAAGGCACCATATGAGGCACGAGTGGTGAAGCCACACTCCTCTGTGCAGACACAGAGAGGGAACAATTATTGTGTGACACAGGAATGTGCTGGGTTTTGTGCCCCCCACAAGACTCTGCACTGCACTGCACTTGCATTCTTGACAATACAGCATGCACTACAATGCCCCAATACAGGGACAATGCCCCACCCATCACCAATGAAAGACAATCAACTTGGGGGTGATGGAAATCTGTGTTCCCTAAGGAAGGGTGACAACCATGCATTGCAACACTCCCTTTGCTCCTTGTTGCTATGTTATGTACTCATCACCATATGATGGTGTGCTCCACCACAATGCATTTTAGAAGAATGCAAGGCAGGCAACATGGACAGTGTGGTTTCTGTATGCCACAACTGTTTCTGGAGAAAACTGACACAGGCTCAGCTGCCTCCTGTGCAGAGATCTATGCTTGGCAAGGGGCAGCTTGCATAGTAGATTGGTATCACTGCTACCTTTGCTGCCTACTGCACATTGCTGCATACATGGATATACATCGCCTGTGTTTGTTGTGAACGGACAGCCATTTGTTTGTGAGCAAAGAAATGACTGCCAAGCAGTTCTGTAACTTCCTTACGTTGTAGATCAGTGACCAAGAGGAGCTGGCAATGCATCCCGATCTCAAGTTGTATGAGGACAAAGCAAAACAGATGGTTGCAGATGGCCAAGGCAACGAAATTTTGTTTCGCAACTATGTGACTGATGATGGAACACCAACAACTGCTTGTCGTTTTGCCTCTTTGTCGTCTCGTGGCGGGGATGACGACATGTTCAGCTCCTACTTCTCATCTAACGAATTAAAGGTTGGCTGCTCATGCCATGCTGTCGACGAAGCATTAGATGCCTGTCTGTTCCATGGCATTGCTGACTTGCTTTGGGAATACACAGGCACAGTGGCTTGATTTCTTTACTCAGGCCCCACACCCACAGCCAAAGCATGTTGCTTTCATGCTCAGAAATCATTGGCATCCATACATGGATGCCATCTTGCAGATTCTGTATGTCCTATAGATTCTCTCTCATATCTTTCTGCGCCAAATGCATTGACCATTGCTCCTACATTATGTTGCTATTGCTTCAGTTCCTTTGTGTGCAGTGTCCCAAACAGTCCCCTTGCTGACCAACTTCTGAAATGGAGTGCTTGGAGATTGGAGGAGGCAGGATGCCAGAAGAACTGGAAGCATTTGAATAGTATCCTTGTGCAGTTCGAAGCCAGTATGACATTGCCCTTCTACCAGTCTTCATCTGTCACTGCTGTCAGCCCCAAGCACACAGGTTTTTAAGTCTCCTGCTGGTAAGATGCCTGACATTTGACCAAATGACTTGTTTTGCCACTCCAGAAGCTGCTTGGTCACATGTCCCTCTGCCCATGCCTCATAGTGATGTCAGGCAGTGATGAGTTCGTGCCAGACTATGTGGACAAGCAGAAGCTGGGCCAAAGGTTTGTGGAGTCTATCGGGGACTCGGGTGCTGAGCTTGTCGTGGTTGAGGGTGCCAGACATGGGATGGAGGGCCATGAGGAGAAGGCAACAGGACTCCTGACACAGTTCATTAAAGAACTGTAGATTTCCAAATGTGCTTGTGTGTGTGTGTGTGTGTGTGTGTGTGTGTGTGTGTGTGTGTGTGTGTGTGTGTGTGTGTGTGTGTGTGTGTGTGTGTGTGTGTGTGTGTGTGCGTGCCAGCTTTAAGAGCAGTTGCTGAAATGGCAAACTATGTGCTGCTTGTTGGGGTTGACCATCCGTTTCCTGGGGAGGGGTTGTCAGCCACCTGGCAGGTTTCTGTTTCTTGTTGTGGTGAAATATCCTTTTGGTACGTGGTGTCTTTCTATGCGACCTTTCCAAAGCATGAAACAGACAAGTGCCAGAGTCTTGGTCCTTTTGTGCCACAGGTTCTGTTGCTCATGCCAAATATGTGCAGTGTTGTTTGTTCCTGTGTGCACAACACGCAACTCACAAGAATCACGAACAACACATCCATGGATCTGTTCTTTGCATAAGTGTGTGTTGTAGGTTGTGCAGAATAGTGCACCCTTGAATTGTCTGTGTTGTGGACATTGTCAAGCAGTACACTCGACAAGTGATTGTAGGTATTGCTGCAAGGTGGAGGGTGTCCAGGCAAAATATGTAGGTTTGAGGCTTCAGGGTTACACTTGGTACCTTGCACCAGACGCATAATACTCCTTGTCATTCCTGGTGAAATCTGCATTTTGGTGTGCACAACAGCTTCTACAGTCCATCAGTTTTATGGCATAGAGACGATGTTCGCAAACCATCTTGCTCAAGTGGAAGCTGCCGTTTGCATGACAAGTTTCCTTTCTGTTGAGAAGACATCCCGGTGGCTTCACTGAAGCCATCGGGATGTCTTCTCAACAGAAAGGAAAACTTGTCAAGCACAAGGTACTGCCCTTGCTGATCTGCACGCCGTGAAGTGCCCATATGGGCCGAAAACCATTAGCATTCAAAAAGCGAACAAGACGCAAAGGCGAAGTACGTTGCTCTCACTGGGGTGTGTTCTGGACACAGAATATGATTGATCCCACCCTCTTCTTCCTCAAATCCCAGTTCCTACAGCAGGTTGGTGCTGGGATATGAATCTGTTCAACTGTCCTTTTAATTCCTCAATTAGGTATTCCGTTGAGTAGGTCCTGCCAGAAGAAACATCAACATAAATATTGGGAAGTAAGGATAGCAAGGCAAAAAAGTAACGTCGTAATACAAAGTTATACTTTCTTACCTTCCAAACTTGCTCCCCAGTTTTGTGTGGTGACGTTTGTTCTAGCAGAACCCATTAAACAGAATGCCGACTGCGGCGGAATTAGCAAAATACTTTCTCACAGAAACTACCGAAGGTGCCCAAGGGGCCAGCTTGGGCATCTGTCGGACGGGACCCTGGGCCCACAGCGTCCCACGACCCCGCCCGCAACGTCCGAGGCGTGGCACTGGGATCAGACTGGGACCCCGACATTGCAAGCTGTTAGTCAAATCTGTCCGCCGTTGGCGGTACTGGCGTCCCTCCTGGCGGGCAGCCAAACCAGGCGGCGCCATTGGGCAGAGGCGTCCCGGAGGTGAGTGCCGACAGCGCCCGCCGCGTCTCGGATGCTCGCGCGGGGCGGCTCCCCCGGGCAGGCGCCGCCGCCGCACCTGCACTGCTGCTTTCGCCCGCTGGTGTCGCTGAGCACGGTGTCGCAAGCGGGCGACGACGCCCACGTGGCCTCGATTGATTCCCCACTGGACCTGCAACCCGCGCGCCCGATCAGGCAGCACGACAGTTTCGAGGGCGCGGTGAATCGCGAGGCCAGCGCCAGTGCGTGCAGGTTGCCTCTGGGGGATCGACGGGAGCCCCGCGCTGGCTGTGTCGCACGCTACTGGACGGGTGACGGGCGCGGCTCAGTATTAATAAGCTCAGGGCGGGGGCGGGGCGGCAGTCGGGCACGGGGCGCTGCCGTGCGCCAAGCGTCGGTTGTCTGCTTGGGGGCTGGGGTCGCGGCGGCGCAATGGCGGCCACCGCGGAGACTTTCCGGGTGCACATGAACCAGGCGCAAGGTGGGCCGTGTGTTGCCGGAGGCGCGTTGGCGGGCGCCTGGGAGGTGGGGCTCTGGCCGTCTGCCGCGCCCTCCCTGGTGCACAGAGAGCAGCGTGATGGGCCTGAATTTGGCCATGCCTTGCTCCTCGGTCCCCCCCCCCCTTTCTCTCTGCCCTCCCACCCACCATCACGAAACGCTTGTCTTCAAACGCGAAGTGTGGTTTGGTCCACTGACGCCGGGCGCTGTGGCTGTTTCCAGACATGGCCTCCGAGGCGCCCCACGTCTACCGGGCGATCGACTGGCTGAGGAGCGGCGATGAGGAGAAGGAGTACCAGGCGTCCCTGGCCCTGCGATCCCTGGCGGGCCACCCGGCCAACAAGCCGATGATCAGGGAGGCCGGCGGGATTCAGCAGCTGGTCGCCCTCCTGGACGGTGGCCCGCATTCCGCGCTCACTGTAGTGGTGGCGGAGACCCTGTCCTGCCTGGTGGCGGACGACCCAGTGAACAGGGTGGGTGGAAACGGACGGCATTGCTATTGCTCAAGGGCGCCTTCGCGCCTCTGCTCGCACGAGGCCCCCGCATGGGCGGCTTGTTGCGCTTGATGCTTTTCTACGTTGTGTGTTTCCGGAGCCTGGTTGCCTGTCCGACGAGGGAAAGAGTCCATGAGGCGCTTTCAGTCCGACGGGAGGAGTCGTCACTGTTTGTGCGGCCCTTTGCTTACATAGAACCTTGCACAGAGCTGGAGGCAGCGATTGGCAGACAGAGATGATCCCCGCTGCCTTTGCAGATTTATGTTGCAGTTTGCAGAGCAACCCACCCGTCTGCTCCCTGTGCACTAGTGTTTGTAGAATGTTAAAAAATGCAGTTGTGCCGTTGCCTGTGGGGGGCCCTGCATCAGTTTGGAGGCCAGAAATTGGTCACTGTGTATGCCTGCTAATCCACCACCATATTCTAAGGAGGCACTGTGACATAGTCAATTTACTGAGGCTCCCTTGGAGGTGACGTTTCTCTAAGACAACCTGTGCTCAAGGAGGGTCAGACAATTGCACGTGTGCACACACAGGGCATGGCAATTGCATATGTCATAGGCAAGGAGAGCAGCGTCCAGCTGTGCAAGGCTGGCATTGGCCCTGGGTGTTTGTGGACCCATCCTGTGGCACTTACTGGTCTCACTGCTTTTGGTTCCAGGAGTTGTTGAGGCACTATGGGGGAATCGGCAAATTTGTGCAGCTCCTGGACTATGGGGCAGAGGCCGAATGCACGCACAGAGCACTGCTGGCTCTGCGGATCCTGACGGACAAGGAGGTGGACAGGCTGACGATCCTTAAAAGCGGTGGTGTCCGGCCACTGGTTCGGCTGCTGGACTCCGGCCCAGAATCGGAGGTAGGGTGCCACAGTGGGCACTGTGCACTTGTACGTTGGGTGGACAGCCTGTTTCTGCTTTAAGCAGGCTTGGCAGGGCAGGAACAGAAGGCATCATGCACAAAGCCATGGGACTAGCAAACTGGTGTTGTAGGAGCTGTTGAGCCTGCCGAAACTGGTTGTTGATTGGGCACTAGGGATGGCACCCGGGCTGGCAAAACCGGACCCAGGTACCCGAAGTTTCCGGAACTTGGGTACGCGGGTGTACCCGGGTAACCCGAGTACACCCCATACCCGGGTACCCACGGATAACTGGTTACCCGTGTACAACCAGTACCCGGGTCCGGGTATGTACCCAGGTACGGAAAGATGCTGCCCTGCACTGACGCAGCGCTGGCTGGCCGCGCTCTGCCGTGCTTGGCCGGATGCTGTCTAACGGTGTCCGCGACGACGACAGCGTCCCTCGCCTGTCGTTGTCTTGCACAAGCCGTGCGTTCTTCTAGCACAATCCGGAAAGGGCTGGATGCCCTGTGGTCAACGATTGCGTTGGCGATCCAGAAAGAACAACAACCACAACAGCGACAACACAACAATACAGCTGTAGGACATCAGCGACAACAATGCCCAAAGCAATCGCCGATCCATCTAGTTCAAGTTGTTGGGCATGTCCTGCACACACCAACCATTTCGCATTGAAACGGACGACCTGCAATCCCCAAAGGGCGGCTCGGGCACCAGGGCTGCAACACATCCGTTATCCCAGAGACCAGCCCATCGGAGCCCAGATGCATTTTCTGCATACAGTTGGTTGCTGCAGGTGTGTAGAGATATTCCAACCCGTCAGATTCCCCGATTCCGACTCGCCGGCGCCATGGGATCGACCAAGCAGCACCATGTCGATGTTCCAACCCGTCAGATTTCCCGATTCTGGCTCGCGGCCCCCCAAGATCTTCAAACGCGTGGCCCAAACAAGAGTGTGTGGAGAGCATCGGCACCGTGCACGATCGCGACGCAGCCACACACAGTGTGGATGGGCGCGACCTTTTGAAGCCAGCACGGTGCGAAGCTATGCACTGGGCGGCCGCTGGTCAAACGTGCTGTACCCGGGTCTGTACCCGGACCCGTGTACTGGCAGTACCCATGTTATCTGGGTACCCGCCGGTACCCGCCTGTACTCGGATACGTACCCGTACCTGCCTACCTGGGTACAAGGGTAGGCGGGTGCTGGAAAAAACAATACCCCCCCGGGTTACCCGGGTTTCCTGTACCTGGGTACCATCCCTATTGGGCACTTATGTACATGACCAGATTGTGTGGTTGAGGCTTTTTGCAGCACTGAATCAAGCGTTCAGGTTTGCAATGATCATGGAGAGCTTGACCTGGGGTGGCCAGAAAGACAAAATGGGCTGTGGCAGCTGCGGGCAAGTAACAAACGCTTCTGCTGATTGGCAGATCACAGAGTATGCTGCTGCAGCTCTGGGAAACCTTGCAGCTGGTTCCCAGCCCATAAAGGACGCATTGCGAGATGCTGGTGCGATTCCTCCACTGGTGAAGCTGTTGCGCGATGACCCAGAGCAGATATCAGCAGAGCTGGCAGCTGTCGTCTTGAGGAATCTGTCTCTGCAGAATCCTGCCAACAGGCAGGAGATCGTGGTATGTTGTCTGGCACTGGCACAAATTCTGATGTTGCTTGCTGGCTGACAAGCCATTAGAGAGGCTGACTGGGCCATATTGTACTTGCTGAGGCTTCGACAGGCCATTTCGTTGCATGTCATGGTGATGAACTTATCATTGGATAGTATTTGTCCCAAGTGACAAAGATGCCTATAATCCGTAGGTTGACCAATGACGATATTCTCTTTGTGTGTGGTTCCTTGTGTTGGGAGTACCTTTGCTTTTCTGGAAGCAGTCCTTCATCGGGGCTCAATTGGGCGTGTGGGCAATAGGGTGCTTGGCTGGTGTCCAATGCACACGGCAATTCCTGCTGCTCATGTAGCTGTGCTACACGTTGGCCCACAATCTGTGCTCAATCCCACTTGACTATATCTGTCAGGAATTGGCAGAGTGCTGCCTGTTCACGTGATTGGCAATGCAAGTTTTACCTGTAATGATTTGTGAACACATTGCAGAACAATTTGCAGGCAGATCATCGTTCTCCTTGTCACAGGACATGGTAAGAACACTGCTGTTTTGCAGACTAGGCGATGATGGTTACGATATGTGCTATGTTGGTTTCTTGTCACAGGACGCTGGAGGCCTTCAACCTCTGCTGCGATTGCTGTCTTCCGGCCAGGAGAAGTTGCACTTCCCCCTCTCGTGTGTTGCTGAGTACCTTGAAATTAAGAGTGCGACCCAGATGAAGACAAAGTCTTCGGATGGTCAATGTTGCTTCGACCCCATGCACGGGCACCTGTGCCTTGCAGTGGTGGATCCATCGAAGTTGGGATGCTTTGGGCCATCAGCGACTTGCAACCCAAGGTACTAGCAAGTGACTGCTGGCTGCTGCCCATTGTGTCAGAATCTGACATAGGGCGAGGGACATCGGCTGGGATGCCCTATGTGCCAACCCGTGGCCTGTAATCCAGGCTGTGGGTATGGATTACTTGTTTTTGTGTTTTGTCAAACAGTGAAGCCTTTGCCCTCAGTTTTGTTGGGACAGGTGTATTTGTACCTCCACACCAGTTGCTCTCTTGCGATCTCGCTGCTCTGAGAGATCTACAAGACTGCAAAGTTGTCCACAGCCAAATCCTGGATAGGACACAAGAGCTTACACCTTGTTAGGCAAGAATGATGGCTGATGTGTAAACCACATTCATGTGCTTCGGGGACTATGTCTTCTGTGCATGTGGGTTATGGCGACTGCACAGACAGCCAGAGATCGGGCTGCCATTTACATATCACTGGCTGGGAGTGGTGTTCTGTTGATTGCCTTTAGTGCCAGCACAAGCCCATGCTGCAGAGTATCAGCAGCATGGCATAAGCAGCATGGCACCAGCTGCATAGCTTCATGTTGGATCCACTGTGCATAACAGGGACAGGAATGCTGAGAGGTATTCTTTATTGAGGAAATTGACAATTACGGAACCGGACAATCACACGCTGGAGCTCAATTTTACGGCACCAGATAAGCAGGTATGCCATTCAGTCTGTGCAGCCCCCCAGTGTCATTGTAGTGATTGTAGGGCTTACATCAAACCTGTTTGCAGCCCTTGTGTGTTTCTGTTTCAAAGAGGGTCTTGAAAAACAGGCATGATGCGATGTCTGAAGGGATTCACTGTTCTTGGTGCTCTTCCTCTGGCATAGTTCTCGTCCACAGTGGCAGTGTGTCTTGGGAGCTCGTTTTCCCAACATTGCTGGTTCCAGACCTTCAAACAAGTGAACAGTCCTTCTTGAGCTGTGATTCTTGTTGGTTGCTGAAACTTCAAGGCACTGCAGAACGTAGCTCCACAAAGGACCGGTGAATTAATTGGATCATGCTGATGTATCCTTGCAGTTATGTGCACCCCTCAGCTGTGTAGCCAGTGTTGGGACTCATGTCTTGCATCCATATTCTAGTTTTGTGGGCCGTCCGTTGCGCATTTGGTTGTTAAATTACCAGAGAAGATATTGAGCATGCCTGTGTCGCTGTTCTAGGGTCCTGCACCCATTGCCAACACCAACAGGTCCAATAGACCCTCAACGAAACGCCTTCAGCGAATTATATTGTCATCCTGCAATGCCACAGAGGTCAAGGGGGCAATCATGAGAATGCTGACAAGGATGCACTTGGAAAGGGAGTTCAAGATGAACCACACAGCGAATGTGCCCCTTACGGGGCGGCTGCCGCTGGAGGACTCGCTTGTTGACTCCATGCCGTCAGGAAACCTGAGAAGTCCGGTGCCAAGACGCACTATGCCGTCACGGGTCTGAGGGCCTGCTGCAGACACCACTGTTGTGTAGGGTTCAGCTTGACCGCATTCGAATGTGTGCAGTAGCAAATGCATGAGTGTGCATGCCTGGAAAGTGCTGTGTCAGCGGATCAGCACAGGTAAAGCTATAGCCCACAAGCTGGCTGCAAGATCGCAAGGCTGAAGCTCCAGTCTGCATCCGTTCATTCGAAATGGATGGTTGCCCTAGGATGAGTGCATATTTGGGGGCATGGCAGACATGCGCAGGGCTGTGCGGTTACCTGTCGGCGGCTTGGAGCGGTGTCATCGCCACCTCTAGCTGGAAATAAAGTTGTGAGGAGGCGATCCGTGAGGTCGTTGCAGCCACGGCTGCCAGAAAAATAGCGTAAATAGGGTGCTGGAGAAGTTGCTCAGTTGGTGGACCTTGAGACTGATAGTGTGCTGCCCTTAGAATGACCGATTCACACCCAGAGAGGTGCTGCTAACAACAATTTGTGAATCAACAATTTAACAACAGTTTGATGGGTGTTTAGTGGAGCATTGGTTGCACGCTGTTGCAAACTCTCGGATGCTGCCCTCAGCCGAAAGGTGCTGCGGGGTGAGACACAGGGGGGAAGGCACACGTGGATTGTGGACCGCATGCTGCTTTCGTCTTTGATGTTGCGGAAAACTGTGACGGTTAAATCTTTGGAGTGCAATTGCTTATACAAAGGCAGGCCCCTTGCACCCTGTTCACAATGATGGGCACATGGGCATCCAGGGCGTATTTCCTTGAAAGCACGACGCTGTGAGCAACATTCTGCGATACAGACTGGACGAACCGAATGCTCTGGATAAGGTTGTGCACAAGGTTCTATTGTGAAATGAGTCGAGACCACAAGCTGCTGGTGCAAATGTGTCGTCTGAATTGAAATTCTGGAAGTGGAGGTCACTGTCATGCAGTCAGGAGTGAGCCTTGCGGCCTTCGTTAACAGCATCACTGTTTGTGTGCTTATGTTGACATTCTCTTGTTTGCTTGTTTTTTCCTTACATGGATGCATCGGTATTATGTCATGGCATCGATCAATGTAGCGTACGAAGCCAGTGTGCAAGGTGCGTGTCCATGCCCACCTATCCCAACCAAAATGCACCTCTAAAGGCGGTCACTGCAGCCAGCGAACCCCTACCAAACCCCTGGGAACTCCCCCAAGGAAACAAGAGAAAATGGCTGCAGGCCATACATCACAGTAGTCTTCTATTCCTATTCCTCGCTCGCCTCCTTTGCCCAAATTCGGTCACAGGAGGTAAGAAAAGCGCCCAATTGACCGCAATGCCTCCAAACCAGATTGTGCAAATTCCACACATCAATGTCTTTCGAATTCAGCCACTTCTCACGCAAATAAGTGGCGCTGTTGCAATCTACAAGAAAAATTTTTCGGTGATATTGTTCCTCACATGATACACAATCGACCAGCTCGCCATCACCTTGCAGTAGTTTGAAACTACCAAAGTGGCCGCGGCCAGTCACAAAACATGCCACCCAAACATGGTCAAAACGTTGGCAATGATCAACGTGGTCAGGACTCCAGTGCACTACAGAATCTGGTAGAAAATCGTGTAAAAGTGTTTGGCATCAGCACTGTGCAATCGACATCTCCATTCATCGATCGGGGCCTCATCCACTCTTCTCAGAACTTGTCGTGGCCATGCATCAGATGTGTGCACCATGTCCGGTCCCCCGGAGTGATATGGGTGACCGGACTAGTTCGGTCACCTGTACCAACCCAGACCTACACCCGTTACTAAGATCAAACCAGACCACCTTCATATGGGTGATGCGTCGCATATTGGGCGGTACTTTATTTCTACTTTTTGGCCCATTTGTTTCCATTTTCTGCGGATTTAGGGCGTTGGGTTTTGGATACCACCCCCAAGGGCGTGTCCCAAGGGTTAGAACTAAACCTTGGCTTCTGGTATGACAAGGATCCTTGCACAAACCTCTCTTGCCCCATAACCACGTCTTCCTATGCATCAATGTGTCCACTGCTCTATTAGTATGGGTCGCCAGGCCAGTAGTATGGGTCAAAGGACCAGTGGTCTGGACCCACAATTGTGGTCCGGTTTGCTCCGATTTCGTTCCAGTCACAAGGCACTAAATATGTTAAGTATAGTACCTGTGGTGTAAAGTACAAGGGGATGTACGTTTCTTTGCTAAGTGGGCTCCTGATAGGTTAACCCGACAGTATTTAAAATAATCGGACATCACTCAGGCCAGGCCCGCCCACAGTACAGCTCAAAGCACAGCGGCAGCCCGTGACGCATCGACAGGCCCACTGCCATGCTGGCATTCAAACACGGCCTTTTCGCGCAGCGGCAAGCCTCGCGACGCCGGCTGCACCCCTTGGACGAAGAGTAAAATTCCGACACGGGCGATTGGCGCCTCTTGCTGTTGGTGCGCCTCGAGGTTTGGAGGCGTCGGCAGCGAAGCGGGCATCAGGGCGCGAGCAAAGCGAGCATAGGTTGCGAATGCAGCGAACGCGAATGTGATTGGCCCCCGCCCATGACAAACCCCAGTGACAAAGCCAATAGCACCAGAGCGAAGCGGAGGCGCAAGGCAACACAGTAGCGTAGCGCCAAGAGGAAAGCTGCTCGGACTCCAATGGCACAGGTGTGGCGGAAAAGGGTGCAAGGGAGGCGCAAATCAGGGCGTGTAGTTCGCGCGTCGCGCACGAGTATTTTTGCCATCCGCGGGGGCTGTTTCAAGGTGGCACAGGATGCGGGAATGGGCGCCCAAGATGCGCAGGTCATGGCGCGGATCTCGCTCCTCCCGGGCGCCCTTTCCCATCAACCATAGGAAGCCGTTCCAAGGCGGCACAGGCAGCGGCAATAGGCGCCCGGGAGGGCCGGCTCATGGATGGCGTGCAACTGACGGCCCCTAGGTGCCCTTCACGCCACCCCGGGGCCCCGTTTCAAGCCGGCACGCGTGGACAAAATGGGCGCCCGTGGTGCACCAATCAGGGCGCACAGCTCACGCATCACGGGCGCCCATCCCGCGAATCACTTGGCGCCTTTCGCGGCTTGCGAGGCCCATTCCCGCCACCCGCGCAAGCAGTCCTTGGCCACTGCAAGAGGCGCGAATGGACGCCCGTGAGGTGCCAATTACGCAGCACAAGTCGCGCCCCGTGAGCGCCCACTCGCGCCAATGGCAAAGGCCGTCCCAGGCCACCGCAGGCGACGGGAATCGGCGGCCGTGAAGGGTCAATCAGGGTGCGCTTCTTGCACTTTGCCGGCACCCATTCCCACCACCAGCGAAGGCCGTTGTAAGCCAACACCCGCAGCGGAAATTAGTGCCCGCGAGGCGCGAATCCCTAAGAGCTTCTCGCGCCTCGCTGGCGCCCATTCACACAATCGGCAGGGCTCATTTCAGGGCACGGCGGGCGGTGTGATTGGGCGCCTGCGAGGCGCCAATCGTGGGGTGTATCTCGTGCCTCGCGGGGCCCCACTCGCGCCATCAGCGGGGCCCATTCCAGGCGACCGCGGGTAGCGCGAATGGGCGCCCGCGCGGCGCCCATGGATGGGCGGCCCATCTTCCTGCGCCTCTCGCGCTTTGCGGGCGCCCATTCTACGCCACCGCAGGAGGTGTGGATGCACGCCCATGAGGCGCCAATCTAACAGCATGTGGGCACCGCGTGGTACTTCGTGGGCGCTCATTCGCATCACATGTTGTGGCCATTCTAGGCCACCGCAGGCGGTGCGAATGGGGGGCCACAAGGCGCCATTTTTTGGGCACACTTCTTGCGTCACGCGGGTGGCCACTCGGGCCACTGGTGGGAGCGCATTCGACACCCCTACGTGCGGCGCGCTTGGCCGCCCGTTATCCGCCCATCCGGGGGCCGTCCCTCGGGGTCCCGCCACGCTACCCGATGCTCCCCGGGAACATTGGCACCTCTCCGTTGCTCGCTCCCACCGGCGCCCGCTGCCAATCCAAGCAGGTGTGAGGGCCAGGGGCGGGCGCTTGCGAGGTGCCACGCTCGTGCACCTTGACGCCTCTCTTGCCATCTGCCTGTGCCGCGCGCCCAGGCCCGACTGCACCGCTGCTTGCCGGTCTGGTACGCTACCCCCGGGCACGCTCCTTGGCTCCTCCAGATACTGCTCCGCTGACCTGTTGTACATCCTTGGGAGCGCGCGGGTGCAAAGTGACACCGAGCTGACCATGCTCCACGCAGAACAAGGAACTAGGCTTCAAGTACTATTTGTTTTTGGCACACCACACAGTATATGTGCGTTGCCTCACAGGTCCGACGGTATGATGATACCGTTCGTCGGGTTATTCAGAGAACGCCGCATGCGCAGCACGTGCGGTGGTCCGAGCTTGTATAAAGTACAATGAACAATACTTCCTCCATCCCATATTAAGTGTCCTCTATGATTTTGATACATCACATTCCCCTCATGAGTTCTATATTTTTCAATGAAATTGTGTCCAAAGTTGTGCTTACGATTTTGGAGTATACGATCAAAATTTCAAGTCAATCCATTAAGTATTGAGGATTTAGCGGTGTTTTGTAGTAAGGGTCCTCTAGCCAGAAATCCACCCGTTTTTCAACGATTCCACAAAAACGGCCGTTTTCACTATTTTTAGGAACACGCTTTTGTAGCAGCGAAACAAAGCCAGCCATGCAAAACTGTTCATGCCATTTGGGTTTAAGATCGGCGTGGTGCTTGTGAGGAAGCGCGGTGATAAGAAACGCGTTTTGAAGGCCCTCATCCTGCAATTCGCCATAGCTCATAATTGAAATTCAGTGCCAGCTTGGTGGACCAGAGCTGCCTTCCGGCCCCAAATTTCTAGTGTCAAAACTTTTCGTCCTCTGTTGGTGCCATCAAGACAACAGAAAGTGACTCCGAATCCACTTGACAAGGTGATAGAGAAGGTCAAGGGCAATGCCGCATTCAATGGAAACCGATTGTTGAAATTGTTGTCGACACGAGAATGGTGAGATTGGCTTTGCTATGGAGTTTCAGGCAGCTAGATACAAAGAGAAC